TATGGAAAGCCTGAATAAATGAGTTTTGTGTAGTGAATTCAAAGAGACTGGAAGGCAAATAAATTCTCCTGGTAATCAGTCAGCTTGGAGCGGAGTGACTGCAGAGCACCGCTGCTGCCGGCTGTACAGCCTTTCACAAGTAGTGATTACTACATGGTGTCAGGCTCGTGAATCTCTATAGCTCTAGCCTTGTTGATCATGTCCCTGTCTTGCACCATTCCACTAAATTTTCCCTAGTACAATCACACAGAGAAAGGCACTATGGAGTACACCACGTAAACACATACTGTCTATCTCCCCATTTACACCCTTCCTCTTTTTCCTCCCAGCTAGCTGTGTTCAGTGCCTACTGAGGCATTTCCCTTGAAGATCTTATCGTGAACTAGCATCATAAAAATACTATATAAGTGAAAAAATATTGCCTCAGCAACAGAAACTTCATTACTTTGATAATATTAGAAAAGTTATTTATTTTTAGAGAGGAGCTTTATATATTTTTAGAAAGCAAAACATTTCCATAGCCTGAAAGCTTTAGTCTTTTCTTCAACATAGTATATAAATGGTTTATGGATTTCATCAAAACTGATTAGTGTATTTTCCGTACCACAGATTATTTTCCATAAATTCTTTTTGTCAAAACTTTGACCTGTTCTTGTAATGATGGATGAGTCTAGTGCCTTAAAATCATGGTTTTCTCAGTCAGTAGGGAAACCCACCGAACCCTGTCAGATGGAATATCACCTCATCCCCTGTAGCCTTATGTTGTAAGAGCATAATCCATTCTCAGACAGGTACACATGAGTCTAGTGAACATGAATGGAATTAAAAGATTGCTACTCAGGAGACTACGAATAAAACACTGTAAGGTAGCAGTTACAAACTTTTTCACAGATAATCTTGGATTGCTGCTGAGACATTACCCCAATCACAGGCTTAGAGATCTGAACAGAAACTCAATGATTCTGTCCTTTCTTAGGAACATAATTCCTAGAAAAAGTGTCTGTCATTGCCACTTTTGCTCTCTCATAAAATGAGAGGTATAGATAAGGTAAATGGACAAGCATCAGGTAAAATCTATGTTCAATTTGCATAGAAGTGAGATTGCATATATTCGATAATTTTACACCAAGTGTTAAGGCTTAGAATGTCATACGGTCAATGCACACAAATGTATCACTATGTGTATTTGTGGTCCTTGAAACACATTTTTTTCTACATTTTATTTGGAGAGAGGGATGCGAGTGTTAAACAAGGTGGGAGAAACAGCAATACATTCACTTTTAGCATTTGCCACCTAGAAAAATATGCTTGTTGCTTATATATTCCGCTATATGATTTTAGAGAAAAATTAAATGTACTACTTCACATTTCTAACAGTTAGTAGCTGCATAAATGTGTACCATAAAGAGAAACACAGGCATTCTATAAAACTAAAATGGTTATAAAATATTCAGTAGCCTGTTTATTTACATTTCTTATACATACACAGCTGAAAGACCTATTATAAATTGTTCCTTCCTAAAGGAAAGCAAACTTAAATTTGCCTAGAGACAGCCTGAACCAGAAGTTGTAACTTCCTGTCACTTGGAAGGTAATAGAAATGGCATTTACTGCTGTGCCATGTTGAACTAAAGCCCCACCTCTGGATAACTAAAGACTATTCAGCAGATGTATGCTCTAAGAACCATCCCTTGAGTCTTCTAGTGCATATTATGTTGTCTGTTTAGATGATAAACTCCTGGAGAGGCTTGGGCTAGCATGTTTTTCTGTGTTTTGTGCAGCTCTATTATTTACAATGTTTAAAATGATAATCATGATTAATCCATAGATAAACTATCCTAAGGAAGCCAATATCGCTTGCCCTGCAGGAGTTCTGCCTCAAATGTGGCATAAATACAATTTATTCTCCACTATTTACAGTACCTATTATGGTTCCCCAGGGAGCTGTGCATCCAAGGCCTAATTCATGGGTCATTCAGGAGAGATGAGCACTGACTTTATTGGACTGTGAATTAGGCTACTGATACACAACACCCCTAAGCATGCAGCCTGATGTTATATATGCCTCTGTGCTGCCCACAGCACCTTCCTTTGCTATCAGGCCCCACTGAACCGGTCAGTAAACCCTTGCAACTTCCTGACCAGACTGATCCGCAGAATCAACCAGAGTGCCTTCTCATCAGGACTCCACATCCATTAACATGCTTTTTAAAATTCCAATTACTTCTCCATTGTGTACTTGCAGAAAAAAAAAAAAGGCCTTATATGTCATGTCATGCAAACTCTGGGTCATGTGATATTGAAAACCAACATGGAATAATGTATCGTGCATTTTCAAATGATGTCACATTAACACAATTTTCCTTGTCTACTGCTTTCATAAGAATCCACCATTGAAACAATGGCTATTTTTTTTTAAAGACTTAAATCATGTAACATTTCTGAGACAAATATTAAACTTAGTATCAGGATGTCAATATTGTTTTTATACTAAACTCTAAGACATAAAAGGACTTTTGAGAACACAAAGCCATTTTTTCAAACAGAGCACTGGAACAGGCTGCCCAGAGAGGTTGTGGAGTCTCCTTCTCTGGAGATCTTCAAAACCCACTTGGATGCAGTCCTGTGCCACGTGCTCTAGGTGACCCTGCGTGTGCAGGGGGGTTGGACTAGATGATCTCTAGAGGTCCCTTCCAACCCTAAGCATTCTATGATTCTATGATTCTATGAAGACATAAAAGGACTTTTGAGAACACAAAGCCATTTTTTCAATCAGGTCACATGTGCACTATTGGATTACACCATCATTGCTAATGATATAATTTCACCCCAGAAACTACTTTATAATCAAAACTTCAAAATAATCTCAGAGATTATGTTTGAAAGGTGATTGTTATAGGCAAGTGCCATCTTCTAATAAATATATATGCTCCTGTTTGAAATCTATACTTACGCAATATGATTTTAAAATACTTTTAATGGGAAAGTGGCAAACTACCTCCTTCATTTGACTGGCTGGCATAAGCATTCTATCTGTAAAGCCTTCCCTGGGTAATAAACTTCCTCCCCATTTATGCTTAAAAGGACATGTAAGCACAAAGGAAAACTAATCTGAAGGGAGACAAGAGGAAATAAACTAGCCAAAGGAGATGCACATAATACACATTGTAATGCCTACTTAGACTTAAACTCTTTGCAGGGTCAAAGCTGTTAACTTTCTCCATGCTCTGTATCGTGCTATGGGTTATTTCCAATGTTTAGAAATTATAATTGCTATAAAGTTTGTAGATAAAATCTCTTAAGATTCAAAACAGCTAGCCCTGCTGGAGCAGGGCACCAGCCTTCCACATATCTCAAGATATGGATTCAATTCTAAATTCATGTCACATATGAAAATAAAATTATTAAGAGCCTAACTCTCACCCTTAAGATTCCAGCAGACAAAATACTATATATCCTATATTTTTATTCATGAAGTATAGAGTAGCATAGTTATTAAATAGATATTGAGTACCTGACAAAACTACCTAAGAAAGCCACCATAATAGTTAAAATCTTCATAGAGTTGTTTTTAAATAATCAAAAAACTAATAAAAACTGTTATACATATGTATATATTTGATATATATGTGTGTATATATATGTATTTTTAATAGAGAGATAATAAAGAAAATAATTAGAAACCTTTTTTTTCTGAGTAGTCAAATCTGCTCACATCATATGTAGGTATATACATTCACATGAAGGGAATTTTTAAGTAAGTAAAGGCATACTGCTCTCATGTTGCACTGAACTATGGCTCATGAAGACTGCTAGCAGTTCACCTTCACTTGTTTTATCTCTTACTTGCAAAGCAACTCCTTTTAGCGTGGAATTTAAACATATGCTTAATACTCAGCTAGGCTGTTCTAGTATAGCCAAGTAACAATTTAGGCGGTGTCATATTTGAGCTAATATTCAAATTCCTAAAAAAAAACCCAAAGGTATAAATATCAATTACCAATAAATATTTATTAATAGTACTTTTAATATTAATAAATTAATATTAATTTATTAATAAATATTTATATATACACATATAATTCCATTTTTAAGACATTCCTCAACAGGAATATTCTATAAACTCCTGACAGGTCAAGAGAATTGGATATTAAAATTTACCTTTTAATGATTTATCTCTCTTTAACAACCACCAAGAATTCAACGCTCAGAATGTGTCTTTTTTTTCCCACTGAACAAGAAAAGGGGAGTGTAGAAGCCTCTAAGGCTAGATTGTAATTCTCTAGAATCAGCTCTATGCCCTTGACCCTACAATATGACCTCAGAGCTCCTTTACCTATTAAGAGATGGATTCCTAAGCATCATCCAGCAATGTCAGCTTGTCTCTGAGAAGAAAGAAGCTGGGAACATGATGGAGACAATCTACAATGTGGTAAAAGATAGGGGCCTGCAGATTTCAGCCACTTTAATAGTCTGTATAGGACAGCTTTAACTAAGATTAAAACTGGAATAACTGAAACTGCTTGACTTGTCTATGACTTTTCAGCTCTTGACTGCTTCCCAGGTCAAACCAAGTATATATCTGACACATGGTTATATCTGCCAATCTCCTACTTAAATATGAACATGGAAAGGTCTTGTCTGAGGAATCACTTTTTAAAAAATCAGATCTTCCAACCATTTTCCAGTTTACTTCATGGAGTGTGACAAAAACAGAAGAAAAGGAGGGGAAACAGATGCATGACATAAGACCGTATAAAACCAGAGAGATGCAAATAGGCACATTAAAAGCTTTATCCTGCTGTTCTATTATTCTAATGATTTTGTTCAACTCTATTAACTAACTTAATCTTTAATAAAATTCAAATGGAAGGACCAGCACACTATTGATTCCAAGCAAAGCTCAGATTTCTACAGAAGTATCTACATATAATACTACACATACAAAATTCTTATTACTATAATATTTTAAATGATAATTCATTGAGAAATGTAAGTACCTGTTGTCTCCAAAGTCAGGATCCTTGAGTTTAGCATCTCTGTTATAAACAAAACGTTCTTGGGAGATTACTACGATATTGTCTGTAGTTTCATTTCCCAAGATTGTAATAACAGGATAACCCATCTGCAGTGTCCACTGATCCATTACTTCTTGTATATTTACAAATTTTCCAACCTTTTTTAAAGCCTACAAGAAAAAAAGAACAGTTTTAGTATGCTGAAGCAATACCATCATCCAATATATAAACAATATTCTTTATGTCATAGAAGACCACCAGTAGCTTTAAAGGTTTAAATAACCACCATGCACACATACACACACATCTTTACAACCAGTAAACACATGCTATAAAATTACATCAATAATCTCTATATATCTTAAAAATAAACAGAAAGGAATCTTGACAGAGAGGAGAGCACAATCAGAAAATCATGTTTTCCACATTATTCTGGCATTTTTGGCATAACAGGAGAAACAACTCACTCTACAGGTTGTTTGCAAGATCCACAGAAACACACAGCTGTTTCCAGAAGGTATTCTGGACCAGTGAAGGTTAAAAAAGATGCTTTTTCAACTGTAAAAGTTGATGTAGGGTACCTACAATAAGGCATATTTAAAGCACCTGGTTTTTGAAAATACTAAGTTTCTGAAGAAGTACTTCTTTGAAAATACTGTCCTTCATGTCCAGAGTGAGGTTATTTGTAAAAAGATATCCCCAGCTCCCTCAAATGCTGCACCTCTGGTCATACATGCGAGATTCATGTGTTTATATTTCATATAGCGTGTCAATAAAAATGCTATTATTATAGCATTTATTTCAGCTGAAAAAAAAGGAGATAATATGGCATCCTGGGAGAAGAGACTGGGTATGAAGAGAATAACAGCGCTTCCTGTTCGGTGAAGGGAATGTCGCTGGATGTCAAGAAGGCCTAGAATTCAGACTGTGCCATCCTTCATGAGTGTGAGCAGGACACAGCAAGAAGCCTTCAGAATTTAAGCTACACCTGCAGTGCATTAGGAAGGAAGAAGTTGGCAACAAAGTCTTTTTAGGTGAGGGAAATGCAATTTTAAGCCTTATCAACAGATCTAAACATACAGTGTAGCCTCGTTGGTTATGGTCCAGGATAGTCTCTTTTTTGTGCCTTTATACTACGCTGTAGGTTTTGCTGTTCTTTGAACAGTATGTTCATCTCTCTTACCTGTAATCACCGGAAGCTGTCCCAAAGGCTTTACCAGTGGAAGACACCAGGTAATAAGCAAGAAGCAAGAAAGACTTTTGCAGTGGCATTCAACATCCAATTAAGACTTTGAGAATCCCATTGTATGTCACATACCTAAACTCTCATTAACAGCACAGGCCTAAGGTTCAGTTCAGTTGCCCATGCATAAATGGCTAATGTCATCTGACCATGACCTGCCTCTCCATAAGAGTACAGATTTCCCCACAAAGCTTGTGTCACATCTACTAGCCCTATCTGAATGTATTTGATACCATATAGACCCTAAACTGGTTCTAGTTGCCTACATTTGAGCTACTGTCTCAAGTTCCTAGTCACGAGCCAGTGAGTGGTTCAGGTTAATCTTCGGGTAATCACCTAGTGTCTAGTGAACTGAATTGCTTTCTATGATCTGCCAATGATATTGACTAGATTTATGGGTCTGCAGGTTTTTCCTGATCATCTAGTGTCAATTGAGATGTCCTACAGCATTTAATATATCCTCCAGAACTGGTGGGCCTACAGCAGTTATGTACTTATCTCAAGTGGCAGCTGGAAGCCAGGTGGGATAATTTCAGGCAAATGTTAGATGCTTATGAATGAGCAACTGAATCCAGTCCTCACTAACTATAATCAATCAGAGCTTAGATGATTAGGTTAAGGGGAGATACCTACACATTTAGCTGAATGTAGGTACTTTAACCTCCAGCAGAACCCCGACTTTGGTGTCAACTAAATCTACTTGATTAAAACTAAATTCTCATGTTTGCACATGCGTTTGTACTCATGCCCAACCTCCCTGACTGTTCCTGTATTGACATGTACTATGAGTGCCCAGACTAGCTCTCTAGACAGGAAATTCAGGCGTAGCCAACTCACTTTTACAAAAAAAATACCTGCTCTTATAGACCCCTGGGCTTGGGTCTAGAACCACGAGCCCAGATTGGTGACAGCAAAGGGACCACAGAACTAGTAGCTGTGATTCTCTGCAGTATGCCAAGAGTTACAGTAAATAGTTACTTGTTTATATCAAACTTTAAAGCTTTACTAGTTTTGTCCTTCGTACAAATTGTAACTCTACATGCAATAAAACATCTACCTGCTGCAAATGCCAACGCACTGTACTTTCACATGCTTTACAGCTTATGGGCCTCAGTCTGCTGCCACTAAAGTCAATGATTGCAGATTCCATGAAATATATTTTATTGCACAGCAGTGACATAGCATAAACAAGGAAATATATTCTAACATCACACAGAATAGAAATAGTAAGAAAATATACTTGAATATTGTCACTCTGTGAACTCAAATGGAATTTCTTTGCATGAGTTTTTAAATTTGCTCTAGGGTCTGATGATTTCAGTATGCACTATTCTCACCTAACCTCACCAAGAAAAACAGTGAATTCCTGCATCTCCCTCAGTGCAACAGATAAAAGCACTTTACCTTTGACAATGTGTTCCAGAGATCATTTCTGGCTGCATTTCCATACTTGTGAATGGTTAAATAGTCCTAGAGAAATAAACCAAAATACAAATCAGTATTACTACACACAAGCCAAATAACTATAGCTGTGAATCTCTGCTATTTAAGTTAAATCACATTGATGTTTGCATTTGTTAGAAATCTAGAAATACACAATATGTTCATCCTAAAGGAGGTAAATAAACAGTTTCTTAAACTAGTTTGCAATGCAAAAAATGTTGCTAGGAATTTCATTTACAGCATTCAGTGCTCTTTCTTTCCTGTGTAAGGTACTCAGTAAGCAAAATATTTTGAATCTATTTTTAAAGCATTTGTGTAATCTCAAAAAGGTTTTCTAGGTAATGCTTGGCAATGAAAGGAGATGCTTTTAATACAGAATTCTGGTCACTATTTTAACTGGTCATTCTGTGTCTAGTCTCAAAAAATTGCAGAAAATTTATTTTTATGATAGCAAGATGTATTATAAAAACATTTAATTGAGATACATTAACCTGCTATTACCTGAACCACAAACACCTATCCAGCTTTTATGTTAAAATATGTAATACTGGCAACTCAGACCATAGCAGATTATCAGAAAGTTTCTCCACCACAGGAAGCAATGCAATATGTGTACGAGAAAAAGGGCTGACTAGAAGGTGGCTGCTTTTGCACAAGTACATACATGTGTGGTGTCACTGTACACATGACTCAGGTTACAGAGTTACAAACTGAATGCTTTTTCTTATTCAGCTGCAGTTTCAATGACTGAGTGTTCATTCTTCTCCTGTAGCAAGCAGAAAGATAATGCCTGATAAGCTACCACCATATTAAATTAACTTCCTAAATTAATAGTTCAAACATATCGCTGGTTAGGTGTGGGCCTTCCAGGCACAAAATGCTCCTACTTTCTAATGGCATCTGGAGAAACAACCCTATTAGATTCCTACCTTCCTATGTCCCTCATTCAATTAGGGAACTGAAATTCAGCAACAATTATTTGAATAACATACATTTGCAGCATTTTGATTGGAAGAATTAAGTGGGAGAAAAAAACACATCAGAGGTTGTAAATCAATGGGTTCCCCTGCATTTGAATTTCCATCATCTTCATTTTACACAATGGTAGGAGACAAACTGTAATTTACAGCACAATGCTGAAATAGGGACAAATTTGCCGACTATGCTATCTGTGCTTTGTGTGAAGTAGGATACTTTGGGAATAATTAGTATTTGGAAAGCAAATTTTCTGATATACAAATTGTAGCACCTGTGACAGATTTAGCTTTTGTCAGCCAATCATAGTACAACAGGCAGCAACTCCCATTTAATCACAGACTAGGGCGACTAAATGAGAACAAAGACTCTGTTAACTGCAGTGCCTAGTCTTAACAATGTCATGAGAATAACCTGGATAAAAGACAACATTAGATAGGCTTCACCTATACTACACTGTGCCTCCATTTTGTTTAAAAATATATATAAACTCCTCTGAGGCTCACTGAAATATTCAATAGTTTTCGAAGCTGCAGAAGTTGCATTGCAAATTAAAAAGTTAAAATAAGGACAAACAAAAGTAGGACAAAGATAATAAATAACAACAAATATACATATGCATTTTAAGTCATCCTAGAAAGAGCTGCATGTATTGGTTCTTCTGAGAGCTGTTCTCAGAATCATTGTGTGACATAATAGAAAGGGTGGAATACTTGAGGATTTACTCCAGACAGTCAATAATCCTGTTTACCAGCCTACAATTAGACAACAAATTTGGCTTTCACATTTTAAATTCAGAAAGACTGCAAAGAGATGAAATGTGTTTCTCTTTTTATTTTGTTTTTTTTTTTCTCCCAAAACACAGGTTGGTAGGCTTAATGTGGCTCTTCACTCACAATTAAAAATTTATTATCTTCCAATCTAACATGTTTATTATATGAAAGAAAACAAAAAGAATTACAGCATTTACAACGAAATAAGAAAATACAAAAATAAAAACAATATAAAAGCAGAGACCTGGTACAATCCCATCATACTTTTTCATTATCTCAAAGCCGCATTGAGACCATAAACATAGCCTCGGGCTAAGAGTGTTACCTAATATATGCTGCTCTAAAAGCAGTCCTGAATGACAGTGTGCATGAAAACATACTTCCAGTGGTAAATCTACAATGTAATCCTAAGTTTGAGTGCAGTTTATAAAGGCATAGGAAAATAAAGTTGTGGTACTAGGTTACATCAGAAATCCACATGTACCATTTTCCTGTCTTCAACAGTAATCATTAGCAAACACCTAGAAAGGACACACAACAGGGCAAGCATACAGTGATACTTCTCCAATATACTCTCGCAGCATCTGGCATTCATGGTACAAGGAATCCAAAGCAGGTCAGTATCTTGTATTTTACAGTTATCTTCTGTGAATTTGGCCAATTGGTTTCTGAACCCATTTATGTGCTTAACCTTTGCAACACCTTACAACAAAGCACTTCGTGCTTTAGCAATCTGTTGTGTGAAGATACCTTTATTTGTTTCAACCATCTGTCAGTTTACTGGTGTCACTTGCTGCATCTTAGTGTCGGTACTGGAAGAGACAGGAAACTGGTTCCCTACTCCGCTCCCTCCAGGCTCAGCATAATGTTACAAATCTCTACTATATGTCCTTATATCAGAGCATACTTTTAGGTTGAGATACCAACAGACCTAACCACCACCCCTCATGCTCCAAGATTATATTTTGTTACCAATATCATCCAAGTTAATAACATTAAACTGAGGCAGGTTTACAGTGACCCAAGCTACACTTCCATTTCCAAATTGTAACCCAAGCAGCCTTAATTTAATAATAAAAAAAGGAGAGAGAGAGAAAGAAAGAGAAAGAAAAGCTTGCTCATATCAGCATCAAATATAACCCAAGGAGCCAAAGACCTATCCCTACTCAGTTCTTCAGTTCAGCAAAAAATAATATGTTTTTCCTCCTGAAATCTAAATCTAAGTAGCTTGCAAAAGGGTAGAAGAGAAGTTTTTGTTCAGTGTTATTATGCGGTGTTGTTATATTAGCCATCCCTTTGGCTTTACACTTAACAGAAAAGAACCAAAGGAAAGAGAAAAGAGAATAAGATGCAGAACACAAATGGAAGATGACATGGAAAACACAACTGCCTAAATCTAAGTCGTACTCAGCTCAGTTCCAAAGGACTTGAAAGTGACTTAAAGCAGCTTTCTCATAAACAAATACGCCTAAAACCATCTGGCTGACAGGCTGTTTCCAATCATCAAGTTGCAAGTCTATCACCTATAAAAGCTGTTCCATCAACTGGAGCATGCTGGAGCAGCAACACTCCTCAACCACTTCCCTAACTTTCAGCTATTACCCTGTGATAAGTGACAGAAGCAAAAATGGCATGAAAACCTCTTTAATAGCCTAAGACTCAAAGGGGCTCTTCTACAATTTCCCCTTCTCTCCTTGATTGTAAAGTTGTCTTTAAGCTCTCTTTTTTTTTTTTTTTTTGACCATGGGACAGTAAGAAAAAACCTCGCAGACCCTGGCCCAAAGTGTCACTCAACATAAAAATTAAACAAACACACAAAAATGATGATCATATGGTTAAAAATCATGATCGTATGGCTTGAGGTTTTCTGCAAGCCTCTTCCTCTAATCACTGTTCCTAACATCTTAGCAAAAACATGAAGCCACTCCCAGGTAAAAAGAATAATGGAATGTGGTCTCTTCACTCCTATAATGGAATGTGGTCTCTTCACTCCTACCTGTAATAAAATGTGATCAGGTAAAGTGGTTTTGTGACATTTATTTCAATACTCTCTAATACCAAACACTGAAAAGAAATCCAAAATCCATCATGCCATGAAAATGAAGCCCTTTTACACACAACCAAAATCTAAGATCTCGGGGGCGGGGAGGAAGCTTTGTCAAATAAAAAAGAGCTTAAAGAGAACTTATCACAGTTTTCTCAATCTATGTTCTTTCTTAGTTTATCTGTAAAAGGTTGATTGTATGACTGATGTAATGGCTACCAATTTACCTGAATGGTGATGAAGTCTAAATCTGATCAATAGTTTAATAACTTCAAGTTTTCTGCTACAGATAACTGGGAAATTCAGTTCCCAGTTACTTAAACTTACTTAAAATGACTGAGGAAAAAGTAGTAAATATTTCAGCATCAAACTCTGACAGCAATGGCCTCTGAATATATCCCTCTAATTTCTCAGGGCTTGGGAAATAGCAGTATTGCTTCTGCCTCACTCTTTCGTCTTTCATTCCTATTCCTTTCAGCCTAGAATATGCTCATGTTGAACAGTTTTATATATGATCACTGTGTCTGACTTGAGATTTAGAATAGCCAGTAAAAACATTCAGATCAGGTGGAGACGAGGCCCTAGGGCTCTGACTATCAAACCCAGCAGGTTCATTCCCAGGGAATTTGTATACTTAAGCTTTAACACCAGATACAATCTAATAGTTGTTGACTATAACGTGCCATCTCCTTTTCTTTCCTTCACACTACCAGCATCAAACTTACTACCAACTGGCATTCAAATAAAAACACCTGGACAAGGGTCAGAGGGAGAAAGGTGCTCTTGATGGTGCTCATCTTTTGATAGTGTGTGACAATCGACAGGGAGAGAGACGCAGTGGTGAAGCATTACCAGCAAGCTATGGACAACTAAAAATCCTTGTGAGAGGAGGCCAAGATCACTGAAGAGCTAAAATAACCAACTAGATTTGCAATATTTTTAAATTGTATGACAGACTAAGCCTTGAGAAAAAGACTGAAGAAAGAGAAGTGATCACCCTCATAATTGGGCAGTCAGGTAAGCAGCAATGAACAAAAGCAAAAAAGTCAGTAAATTCACAGTTTGGTCATGGTAAACTTTGTTTCAGGCAAATCAGTTGGCAGCTAACTTTATTTGTGTCAGAACTAGTCTGTGCCAATGAGTCAGGTTGCAAAGCTACTTCCAAATTGAAAGAACATCTGTGATTTGAACACTTACCAAAGCAATACTGCAAAGCCAACAAAGAGAAATCTGAA